ATATGTACATACATATGTAAATAAATCAACGGGTGATTTCCTTCTCATTTAGCAAAATCCCAAATTACTGAGTTGTTTTTTTTTGTCCACCTGGACCTTTATGCTCTGCCATTTCTCCTCTAATCATCACCTGTGTAACCTGCGACAAGTTGTTATGCTACCATAACTATTGCACATTTACATATATGTAGTTCATTGTCGAGCCGCGAGCGTCACATGGTTTACATTACACCGACTCCCATGTGTGCACAGCGAGAGAGGTGAGGGAGAGACGCTGAGTTGCTGCCAGAGGAGCTGCTAACTGCTAGCAGCTACTTCTTAAATCTCCCAGCAGTAGGTCACACACATAACATGTCATCAAACTGTCACACCTGTGCCACCCATGATCCCGTCCTGCCAGCTGTCCTGTTTATACAGTCATTGATTCAGTGCTGTTACTACGCCCATTCCTGGCTCAGAGGCAAAACCACTCTGTCCCCCACATTCTACAATCGTACATTTTATGCAGAACAGTGAGGCAGTCTTCTCTTACAGCTTTTGAACAATTTTAACAATAATATCAATGTTGAACGACATTTTTCTGAGGCAGGTATTCCAGGCCTGGAATTAAGTCAAAATTAAACGTTTCAACACGATGCATTTGACAGGAGTATTCACCTAACATAGCCTACATCTTTAATTATATAATTATTTATATGTCTCTATGTATATTTTTACATAAATCCCCAGCATTTTATTTGCCTTTAAAAAATCCTCTTCCTTCATTTAATTTGACAATGTTTATCGTATTGTATTATAGGTATTAATTCTCTACAGGATCTTGTATGTTCTTTAATGTGTGTTCAATTTATTAAAAACAAAAACAAAACTAGAACTGCAAGCAGTTATGAATGGGGGCCAAGCCCCCCCGTGCGACTCGGTCCCCGCGTCCCGCGGAGCCCATGGAAGTTGTCCCCGAAGGACGACAAGGCTCTGGGCGAGCGCATGTTTATGAATGTGTCATTTAAAATGTGGAAGTTACAGGCAAAACTGCCTTTGCATCCATTATAGCGTCACCTATAGACCAATTTGCGACAAATTTGGCACAAAGCCTCTGGATGACCTCGGGAACGAGTGACTTAAGTTTGATGCTGAAAGCATCTACGTTGAGCGAAATATGAAACAATGTGTGATTTTTAGCTAGCAAAAAAGATGGTTTGGTTGTAACAAGCGCATTTTTTGGAGTGCCAAAATTCTTTTGATAACTTTTCATCAGACACATCTGGAGATTCTATGTGCAAAATTTCAGGCAGGTGGCACTTAAAATGTAGGAGGAGTTCGAAAAAGTAGGTTTTGGACATGTGGCGAATTAGCAAAGAGAATGTAAAGCAGAAGTGGGCGGGGCCTGTGTCAGAAAACCCAGCTCTAACCAGGGAACACATGGATATAATGTTTGTGAAAGTGTCATTTAAAATGTGTAAGTTGCAGGCAAAAACGAGTTTGCATCCGTTATAGCGCCAACTAGTGGAGTACATATGCAATTTTTGGTACGGAAGATCTGTGTCCTATTCTATATGTACCCTTAAAATTTCAAAGCCCTCAGCATAATAGTTTAGCTGAAATTAATGTTTGTTGTTTATCTTGTAATAAGCCACGCCCACATTGACCAGTCATGACCAACTTCAAGATATGACCTCAGAATTGGCCCTACATCATACCTGAGATATAAACTTACCATATTTGTAGCGCCCCCTAGTTGCCAAAATTCGCCAAATTCGGCTCATACCCTCACAGTCTTATGCCAACCAATGATCTCAAATTTGGTGTTAATAGCATTTAGTTTGACCGAGATATCCAACAGTTTGCATTTTTATAGGTAGCTACAGAAGTTTGTTTGTTAATAATTTGCGCATTTTTTGACCGAATAAAATTCTTTTGATAACTGTAGATCAGGTCCAGTAGAAGAGTGTATATGTCAAGTTTCACGCAGATTGGACAAAATCCCAAGGAGAAGTTCGAAAAAGTAGGTTTTCCAGTTTTCGCGATTTTGCGAAAAAACTTCCTAGGCGCAAGTGGGTGTGGCCTATAGCAAAGTGATTCAGCTCTATTCAGGGAAGCTGGGGATACAAGATTTTTGAATGTGCAACATACGGTGTGGAAGCTATAGGCAAAAACGCATTGGCCTAGGTTATAGCGCCCCCTGCAGGCAGAGTTTTTTTTGCGTCTGAGGTACGTGCAGGGGTTTGGACCACCCCTCCAAATTGCACCGCCCTCCCTTGCACGGTTTAGCCTGCAGCACCACTTTTACCTACGGAAGAATAAAAATAAAAATCTTTACAAAAACAATAGGGTTCCTAGCACCGCTGGTCCTAGGCCCCTCGGGCTTGGCCCCTCGGGCTTGGCCCCCTAAAAATGTTTTGGTGAACCCTGCAGCAAAGTGAACCCTCTTCCTCAGAGAGGATCTTTGCCTCCCACTTTGTTCTGGCGGCAGAGCAGAGTGATCCGTCTTTCTTCTAAGAGGATCTTTGTCCCATGAGAGCAGGCAGTGTAAACAACTTTCGCTGGCAATTTGACAGTCACTAGAAGCACATTATGACCCTTTGTAAAAGTTTTTGTGTGGTACCTGTGTTGTACATGAGCTAACGTTAGCGGCTAAGAACTGAGAGGCTGTCCGGTGTGTGTGTGTGTGTGTGTGTGTGTGTGTGTGTGTGTGTGTGTGTGTGTCTGTCTGTCTGTCTGAGGAGTGTCAGTATGTTAACTTGCCGTAGCCTTGCTGTTTGTCATGTTAATGTTATCATAGGCAGCCCTGAATAGCTTGTAAAACTTTAGCATAGTTGGTTAACACATTTGTTATCAGCCCATGTGTTTACTAGGGATGGGCAGCACAAGCAAAAACACTATTCGAAAATCATGGCAACTATTCGACGATTTTTCGAATAATCGCCGCCTCCTGCGTGCCTCGCTCTCAAATGACTGTGCATACTTGTTGTAGACTTGTGATACGCAAGCTTTGCCTCACAGAGTTTGCACTGCACCTCATTTTCGTTTATTTTGTCTAAGTTGTTCCACACGGAACTTTTTGATGACTGTAGTAGTCTCTGCATGTTTCTCCTGTTTGTAGAAGAGCATCAAACTAGCTGGTAGCCCATCTCACACCGCTGTAGCAATCCTATACTGCCCTCGTGCGGTTAGGAGCTGAATTGCATGTCAAATAAAGGGGGGAATTAAGACGATGAATAGTAATAGTCGCATTAAAAAAAAAACGATTTTTCAAAATAAAACGACTATTCGAAAATTCGAAAATCGTGACCCATCCCTAGTGTTTACTGCTACAGAAAATTAATAAATCTTTGGTTTATTTGCACGTCGCCTCTCTGCCGTCTTTTATCACGCTTGCTAACGCTAAGTTAACTTCACCAGCAGATCTGTATGAGGCACAAACTGAGGCTACAGTGAGCAGTGTGTTTCCCCGTCTCGCTGCTTTCCAAACTGCCGGCCAGCTGTCGCTCTGCATCACGTGGTATAACGCTGCATCGTTGGGAGCGCTTGTTTTCATGCAGATGTCCCGACTCCCGGCACGGGCGGGGCCGGCAGAATCGCCATCATTGAAAAATTAGATCGCATATGCATATGAATCGAGATCACGATTTTATTACGATTAATTGTGCAGCCCTAATTTATACTGAAGCTGATTTGCGTACTTGTATTTGAAATTGTCTCTATTAAGCTATATTTAACGTGTGTTTTGAATCAACTAAACTTTACAAAACTTAACAGAGTCATCCACCGCCAACTAGTGTTTTGGAGGTGTAACTGCAGACTAGGTGAAATAAATCTCACTAAATAGGAGCCCTGCAGTGTGCGAGGGTTTTTCATTTTTTTCAGTAACTGCAGAGTGACACAGACACACCACCGCAGAAGTAAAAATGCTTACGACTAATTGATTAGTTTAAGATTATGTACAACTAGTTTCAGATTATGTACAACTAAGATTTTCTTTGGTTTACTACAGCCCTAGTGACGTCACAACATGTAGGCAAGCTGACCCTGTCAGAGAGAGTCAGACAGTCTCTATTGGCTGGAGA